CTACAGGCAGAAGAGAAGGTAAATGAGGCTAATGAGGACCCTCAAGAGTCCTTGGCTTGGATGTGCTCTGAGTGAAATAGGGTCGCTTGTCTTCTACCCCTTTTTGTCTGGCTTCCTGATTGGGGAAGATGGGGACTTTTATGTGCCGTCCATCTTCCCTACCTCCTCAATGGTAGTGACAATGGCAAATCTTTGGCATTCCAATTTAGAAGGGTGGGTCCTGCACCTGTTGCCGTTGAAGTGATTCCAACTCATAGTGACCCTACAGGACAGAGTTAGAACAGCTCCATATGGTTTCCAAGGAGCAGATGGTGGATTAGAACTGCCAACTTTTTGGTTAGCAGCCATAGCTCTTAACCACTGTGCCACCAAGGCTCCAAGGGTGGATATCAGTCTGCAATTCGTCTAGGAGTTAGCAGGTGGAGTAGGGTAACTATGCAACCTAGAGACATTTCTTTATTGCAGAGGTGACTTTCTCTAAGTCCTTTATGGCCCCTATAGTGTGAATCAAGGCCAGCCATCCAAAACTATTCTTCCCTTGCACTGGGGTGGAGAAGAAGACCAGAATCTGATGCTTGAGGCTGAATGAGTCCCAGGCAATGCTAGCCATAAATTCAGAAAAAAAGGAGGGATTGCTGTGAACTTATGCTTCAGGAAAGCTTCAGAAAGGAATTGGGACTTGGTTTGAGCTTTTGAAGAAGGCAGGAGGATATGTCTTGAGGGAAGAGTTGTAGAAATTCAGGGAGAAAAAGAGTTAAAAGGGTCTTCTAGGTTTCTATTTTTTATTAAAATGCTCAGAATAGTTAACTGGGCCTGAACTTGAGAGCTAGTGAGGAATCCAGAAGCCTGAACCTTGGAGGAAGGTGAGAACCTGCATTATCTAAGAGTATGAATTCTTTTCTGGACAGCTGCAAGACCATGAGGAGATAATAATGAGTAGATATTGACATCTGTTAGAGTTCTATATGAGAAAGTGCATAAACCACACCAAAGCCATGACTTCTCTCTGATGTATGGATACTCTGGCAGCAGAAATGGGCAAGATGCTGTAAAAATAGTAATGATGGCAATAAT